AAAATTTAGTTTTAGAATCTGATCCAAATATAGTAAATGCAGATCCTCCCTTGAATATACTTTGTATAGGCAAAAAAAAAAGAAAGTCTGAACATGTTGTGAATGTGAATGAAGACTGATGAAAGTAATTTTTTCATGAGGTTTGTAGAAACAAATCTTGTTACTTTGAAATTCCACTATACATTGGCGCTATTTTTAATTAAATTTATTGGGGTGACATTGGTTAGGTTTCATAATCATATAGGTTTCAGGTATACATTTCTATGATACAAGATCTGTATATTGTACTGTGTGTTGATTATCCAAAGTCAAACCATCTTCTGTCACCATGTATTATTGTTAAATAATTTGTTTAGACCTGGAAAAAAGTCTGTAAATAGGCTTAATGTATCAGTTCTTTGTTGGGGGCAGATCAGTGGATGATGCTAGGAGTCAGGGCAGGCTGTGCATGAGAAAATCCAGAAAGGCTTTCCAGCAAGAGGAAGGAGGCAAAGGTCAAGGTCAGAAGCCAGGAATTCTGTACTCCCCAACCTATTGTTCCCTCTCTGCTCTCACTGCAATGACATTACTTCAACCAGAGTCATATTTCACAGTTCTCCTTCAATTTTCCCTCCTTTTCTCATTGCTTATCAGATGTTATAGTTTCCATCATTTAAAAAAATAATGTCTGCAACCCTTTACCATCCCTCCTGTCTCTACACTTACTCACCACTTACCCAGTAGCTGCCACCACACTAACATCTCTCACCTAGAACACCACTTCCTGCTGGTTTCTAGCAGAGGATCCCTTCCTAAAAATGGTCCTAGAATATAAAATATTCCTATTGTTAACTAACATTGGAAAAATGCAGCATATATCTCTTTCTTCTTGGCCAACCATACACACAGTAGCATAAGACTAATATTTTTTAGAGTTGCTTGTCCTGGAACTCTTTTCATATAACACTCATCAGTATCTAGTCATTCATGTTGCAGAAAACACACTTTAGGCAACAATGACTTAGAGTATTTAAATGGCGTCTAAACTGCTCTCCTTGCCTAACCTTTCCCTTTCTAATGCATCTAGTATTTCACTGATAGATTACTTTCTCTAAAGTGCTTAACTGAGTATATTATTCCTTTGCTCAGGAACCTTCAGTGGCTCCCCACTGATCTAAACAGTAAGCACCAGGCTCTCTATAACATGCTACCAACACACCTGGCTGTGTGGCATAGGAGAAAAGTCATGAACTTTGGAATCAGATCCAGGTTCAAGTTCCAACTCTGAATCTTAAATACTGTAACACCATAGCAAGTCATTTATTGCTTTGAGCCTATATGTATATTTTTTACTCATCTGCAAGTACAAGCAATAATTGTAGAGACGGGAGGATATAGCGATATAGTTTTTGTAAAAGCTTCTTGCACAAATTGTAGCACAACACTCTCTGGCCCCACAGGTTGTAAGTCATTTGGCAGGTGGAGCTTCTTTGACGTGGTAGTCACTTAGTGTCTGCCTATAATAAGAGAGCAATGATTTTCTAAATTGAGGACCCAGAGGGTCACCTATTAGTGTCAATAAAAACTGATTAATGAAACAATCTCTGCCTTTATTTGGGGAACTTTTCATGGGTCCTGAAGGAACAAGAGTCAGTTCCTACAGCATATTCAATCTTTTTAGGCGTAAGTATGCCCTTGGTTAAGTGGGTGGGCAGGGCCCAAGAATCAGCAGCAGGGCTTGGAAAGCAAATCCTGGGTTCACACAAATGAAACAAAAACCCATTACAAGAGTTAGAATGCTGCTTTTTTGTTAGATTTAGAAACTTTTAAAAGTGTTTTTGATGTACTTAATAGTCCCCAAAGAAGAAAATACAAAGTCTTCAACAGGCCTTTCTAAGAAGGGAAAGAGGGATTTTTGTTTGATTTGCTCACTAGTACAGTCCAAGTGCCTGGAACAGTGTCTCGCATGTAGAGGGCGCTCAGTTAACATATGATGACTGGATGGATAAATGAATGAATGAACTAATGAAAGGGGCCGTGGTTTGCATTTTCTACGTGTTCTATCATAGGGCTGAGTATACAGAAGATGCTTACTAAACACTTGACTGGCTAAATGCATGGATTTACATATTCCCTAGCCAGTCAAGGGCATTTAAAAATGTAATCATTTTTAAACTAAACATTATTCCAATATATTCTACTTTATAAAACATTGTTATATATTATTGTTATTTTCTATATTGTTTTAAAAAATATTACTTTGTTTTTTGTTTCTACTTTATAAAATATTTTTACACCATAATATCATCAATCCCCTTTAAAATTTATCTAATCACTGATTTATTTCTCACATTAATACAAGGGGATGTCACAGCTTGAAAGTAGAAGAGGGGAGAGAAAAAGTAGTTTGGCCAAAAAGTCTGTATGGTATTTTCTGTAAAATGAAAGACATATTTTTAAAAAGATTTTATTTATTTATCTTTAGAGGGAAAGGGAAGGAGAGAAGGAGAGATATCAATGTATGGTTGCTTCTTGTGCATCCCCTACTGGGAACCAGCCTGCAACCCAGGCATGTGCCCTGACTGGGAATCGAACCGCAATCCTTTGGTTCGCAGACCCGTGCTCAATCCACTGAGCTATGCCAGCCAGGGCTAAAAGACATATTTTTACTCTTACCAGTAACTTTATGGATTTGAATATTTTGAGTATGTTGGCTATCTCCTGCATGATAGGACATTGATTGTCTCAGTTTGGTTGCTATCAACTTCAACTGGTCTACCGGACCATGGAGCACCATCCAGTGAGAAATCTTCAGCAAAAAGCTTCACGAATTACTTTTGGCATGTTTGATCAGTCATAGCACCTTCTCCATAACATTGCATAAGTTTTCATTTGTGTTTCAGTTGTACTTTACCTTTCTTGAAATAAAGCATAATATGCTGAAAATGTTGCTATTTTCTCCCATCTTCAATATTAAAATGGGTACAAAAAATTCATCCATTTTGGTATTTTTTTAAATGTATGCTGACATGACAGCTATCATAATACAATCTAACAAAATTGTTCTGTATGAAGTTAAAGACAACGAAGCATGACTAAAGCCATCTTACAGGAAATAAAAAAACCCACAAATTTTTTGCTGACCAAACAGATTTAATATATATTTTTAGTTAGAAAGTAAAAATTTTTGTATAAAATGTAATTGAATATCTTGAATGAAATAAAGAGAAAAACAACTTAATTTTTTAAAAGACTGGAAGAAAGCCCTGGCTGGTGTAGCTCAGTGGATTGAGCTCGGGCCTGTGAACCAGACCATCACGGTTCGATTCCCAGTCAGGGCACATACCGGGTTGCAGGCCGGTTCCCTGCAGGCCAGTTCCCAGCAGGGGACGCATCGAAGGCAACCATACATTGATGTTTCTCTCCCTCTCTCTTTCCCTTCTTCTCTACAGATAAATAAATAAAATCTTTTAAAAAATTATTTAAAAAAAAGACTGGAAGAAGATGGGGGGAAATGAAGCATAGGGTATATAGAACATGTTTGAAAAATCTGTTTGGAAAGAATTTTACATTTATACTCCCATTTTTTTTTCCTGAAGCACTCCACTTGAAGTTTTTTATAACTATCAATTCTGTGTGAAGAAAGAATAGACAGATCCTTCCTTCACAGTTACAAGAACCAAGGCTCAGTAAAGTAAATGATGTATATGTCCAATAAGAGGTAGATTCGGGATCCAGACCTCCTGCACATCCAGGAGGAAAAGCTGTTGTGGAATGTAAAGTGAGCCTGACACGTTCAGAGAATATGAGTAGGATAGTTTGGATGGAATGAAGAGGGTATATAGGAAAGTCACAGGAAATCAGGTTAAAGAAATAAATATGAAATAGGTTACAGAGTACCTTAAGTAACATAATAAAGAATTTGGATTTTTATCCAAGTCAGTCATTTTGAAATTATTTTTAAAGCAATAAAATCCCTTTTTAAAAAAAATAAGAAATCTTATATGAGATGCCAATATGAAAGCAAATTAAAAGGAGGTAGTTTTTCCAACTGAAGCTGTTTCTCCTAACCCTCAGCCTCTGAGGAGAAAAGTTTGAAAACTGAAAAAAATACGAAACTGAGAATTTTGAAAAGTTGTGCATGCTGACATGCTGTACCAAGAGGCAAAGGGTGCAGGTGAAAGGACACACTCTAGAGGCAGGAATCGCAGAAGCGGGGCTATCAGGGCTGCCGCTGGGAAGGGAAGGCAGAGATGCTTAGAGACAGAAGAATCCGAACAGAGCCAGGGATTTCAAAGATTCACACTCGGGCAGCTGTGGGAGACAACAACATAATCACAAAAAGGGTGAAGTGCAAAGGAGGAGGCTGCTGGTTTTGATGAAAGACAGTGATGTACTTTTAACTGTGTTTTAGTCATTTAGTCCTTTTGACTACACTGTGTTATAGTCAGAGGAATAGAAAGCAGCCCTGTTTTCCCTCTACCAGTTTTTTCCCCTTTTTTATGGCACAAGTCAGAAAGCTGCACTTTGTTATATTTTTAAAACATTTTAAGTGCTTAACATTTCACCTGAATGTCCAACATGAAGAAAATGCAGGCTCCTCAATGGCCCAGTCTAAAAAGAAAAAAAATGACCATTTCCATTTTTGTAATATTTCTGTTCCTCAGACAGTCTGGATAATTAAATGCTAGCGTATTGAATTTTTTATCTTTAAAAATATTTTTCCATTGGAGTTAAGTACAATTCAATGATTTACTTCAAGCTTAATTATTTTGAAATACAAGATTTTTCTTGTGCTTTATAAAAACAAATGATGAAAGTAAAACTTATTCAATATTGTGAATCCGTCCAACTAATAGTAATTGAAATGAGAAAAGTTTTGATGGAGAACAAGTTACAGTTTTTGGCAAACTGAGTCTGCTGAGGACAATCTCCATGTCTCTGAGTTTCTGAAACTAGTGATGCAAGTGCTCCCGCCCTTTTCTGAGAACACAGCCTGACTCAGGCAGGCAGCTGCTGCTATTAAAACAGCTCCAGCCCTGCACGCTTCCACACTTCCCTGCTGGGGTGAGCGCCACCACAGAGATGAAGCTAGCGACCTGGTGCTGGCTGAGCTCAGCTGTCCTTGCTGCCTATAGTTTTTTGGTTGCGGCAAACAATGAAACAGAAGAAATTAAAGATGAACCGGCCACGCAAGCCTGCCCGGTGAGACTAGAGAGCAGAGGGAAATGCGGGGAAGGAGGTGAATGCCCCTACCAGGTGAACCTGCCCGCGCTGACTATTCAGCTCCCGAAGCAGTTCAGTAGGATAGAGGAGGTGTTCAAGGAAGTCCAGAACCTCAAGGAAATCGTAAATAACCTGAAGAAATGTTGCCAAGACTGCAAACTGCAGGCTGATGACAACCGAGACCAGGGCAGAAATGGACTGTCGTTACCGGGAGGGGCTGATGAAAACAAAGTTACGGAATTGGAGGACGAGGTCCACAAGCTGTCCTCCGACCTGAAGAATGCAAAGAAGGATATCGACGTGCTTCAGGGTCGCCTGCAGAAGCTGAATCTTGTAAATATGAACAATATTGAAAATTATATTGATAGCAAAGTGGCAAATCTAACATTTGTTGTCAATAGTTTGGATGGCAATTGTTCATCTAAGTGTCGAAATCAAGAACAAATACAATCACCTCTAGGTATGTATAATATCCTTTTTCTTATCACTTGTCCATGAATGTTATATAGCTAGGCAATTTACAAACATTAACCTGAGCAAATAAGTTAATTAAACGACAGATTAACTAAATTAAGCTTTTTATTCGTCAAGGTAGTACAGGAAAAACTAATACCTTTGCAAATGTGTGACCACAGAAATGATATAAGACCCTAATTACGAAGACTGTAATTAGTTCTTTATCCATTAGAAAGCACTTTCAGTTTCCAAGACCTTTGCTGCTGCTACAGCTACACACAAATCAAAAGAAGAGAGAAAGAATTTCTTAATGTTTTAGTGCATTAAACATTTTTTTATCTCTTCCCTGACGCGTTTGAAAACAATAGGGATAAGTGTTTGTGGTGGTGCTTGGTTCACTGAAAACCATTTTCTTGGTCTGCTGCTGACTGCTCCCTTTCATGTGGCAATGAAGAGATATTTGAAAGATTTTAGCAAGTAATCTGCAGTTCATAATCCCAAATATCTGGTGAAAATGGGAGATTCTATAGCTGGAATCTTAAAAGCAGTTTTACAATTTCATGTGTAAAAAAAACTTTGTGCTTTGAGACCTAGTGGCAGAAAAACATTTTAAGGAGAGTTTGGGCATGCCACTAAGGGAAGGAAAACACTCTTATTTCTTTTCCTTTTTTTACCTGAAGCTAGAACTCAAGCATATAAAAATAGAACCCATCCTCACCATTCAGATTACTTGAATTAACTTCAATAAATATATGTTAAAAATAACAAACCTATCTGCCTACTCTGCCCATGAATCAGCTGTAGCACTGGTTCTTCCCAACCCTGGCTTTCTCTCTGAGTTCCTGGGGCCACTATCTATGATAGTCTTGTTACACTTTGGAAAGCCATCTCTGCATTAAGACTAGGACTTACCATGAGTGTGAAGTTGAAGGGATATGGTGCCTGGGGCAGGAATCACATTCATTTGAAACAAACACCTCATGCATGTTCCATCCCCAGGGAATCTGCCAGTGAAGGTAGGTGGGGGGCGGTTCAAGGAACACCTTTGCTCATACACCAGGCAGCCTGTGTCTGAGGTTACCCTGCACATTGCAAGGCAGAGAACTTCACATCTTAGGTGACATCCTTGGGCACACATTAGATTCTCTTGTCTCTTTTTTACTAAAAGTTTTGGGAAAATATCCAAATATTTTGAATTCTAAATTCACATGAATAGATTTCTTGTGCCTCAGAGCAGTTTATATTAAACTTACATTATCTGGCACGCATTTTTATAAAACTTATCTAGGAGTAAATATCTGTATTTGATTCCTACAGAACCATGTTAACTAATTATTACACTCATCCTGAATGTAATCGCCTGCCATTTTTTTCTAGAAACCAAACATATGGAATCTGGCTAAATGCTTTCCTGGATAATAAATTCAGAATAAGAATATTGGTATATTATTTTAAAAATTTCCTTTTTACTGGAGCTTCTTTATTTAGTGGTCAAGCAAGTAAAATAATGTGAATGTATGATCAATGAGGTACATTAGAATTTTACTATGTCATTTAAAACATATCCTGTAAAACTTCTTGACAGTGGAGGCTATCAGCGCCTTAAGGTAAAAGGAAATAGAAGCCTGTGATTCCTTTGTATGCATGGACAAAGAGAGGTGGGGTCACTGGCAGAATACCTACTGAGGGTAGCTCTCATTAAATATTACTAAATGATTGAAACTATTATTTTTATTTATTCTTCCTGTTATTTGTTGTTGATGTTGACCAACTAAGAGTAGGTAGTCTGCTTTGTAACACCAGGTTCTTATTCTGAGGCCTTTAACAAGCATTTGAACAGGTTCAAGTAAGTCTAGCCGGGCAGGGTTCCATAATCACTGTAGATGGAACTGTCAAACTGCTTTCGTACATACAAAGAATTCTTCAGATGCATAGATTTTTTTTTAACAAAACCCAATATCTTTCTTTTCTTTCACCTTCAGTCCAACATCTAATATATAAAGATTGCTCTGAGTACTACACAATAGGCAAAAGAAGCAGCGAGACCTACAGAGTTACACCGGATCCCAAAAATAGTAGCTTCGAAGTTTACTGTGACATGGAGACCATGGGGGGAGGCTGGACGGTGCTGCAGGTGCGTCTCGATGGAAGCATCAACTTCACCAAAACATGGCAAGACTACAAAGTGGGCTTTGGAAACCTCAGAAGAGAATTTTGGCTGGGAAATGATAAAATTCATCTTCTGACCAAAAGTAAGGACATGATTTTAAGAATAGATCTTGAAGACTTTAATGGTGTTAAACTCTATGCCTTGTATGATCACTTTTATGTGGCCAATGAGTTTCTCAAATACCGCTTACACATTGGTAACTATAATGGCACAGCCGGAGATGCTTTACGTTTCAACAAACACTACAACCATGATATGAAGTTTTTTACCACCCCAGACAGAGACAACGATCGGTACCCCTCTGGGAACTGTGGGCTCTACTACAGCTCAGGCTGGTGGTTTGATGCATGTCTTTCAGCAAACTTAAATGGCAAATATTATCACCAAAAGTACAAAGGTGTCCGTAATGGGATTTTCTGGGGCACCTGGCCTGGTATTAGTGAGGCACATCCTGGTGGCTACAAGTCCTCCTTCAAAAAGGCCAAAATGATGATCAGACCCAAGCTCTTTAAGCCATGAGTCACTAATGCTTATTTCTCTGAGTATTTGTTACCTAATAGGGCAATTAATTCCTCTTTGTACTCCTTTTCCATGGCTAAAAATTTATTTCTGAGCTGTGGGTACTTATGCTAGGCAGCATTTGAAATAAAGCTGAACAATATACATTTTAAAGGAGTCCTTTGTTGCTGTTACACTGTTATGCAAAAAAGAAAAAGAAAAGAAAAAGAAAAACACTTGCAGGCACCTGGGAATATTGAAAATTACATGTTAGATTTATAATTCTCCTAATTTCCACTAACCAAAAAGTCTTCTATTAGTTGTATTACTTGCTATAATTTAAAAATAACAGGCTAGATTTTACACAAGTAATTTATATTTTGGCTATGACAAACACATCTGAGGGAATGAATATCACTTTTGGGGATATAAAGAGTTATTCAGGTATTTATTTGTGTCTTAATAGCCTAATCCTTATTCTCAGATAATCGTATTAAATATATGGCATTTACTTTGAGTCAGGAAGACCCGACAGCATTTTAGTTCCCAGGCAAATTAAAGGTCTTCATGCACTATTCATGAAATGTAAAGTATTTGTCATTTAAAATATTTTAAAATGTGGTAGCATAACATCACCCCTAAAAGCATTCATTTAACCATAAAGACCATTGTTTAAAAGTAATTCATTCAGTTTATATCTCTTTAGATGTTTGATGGTAAAAACTGCTCTAACATAAAAATAATCTTCCTTTCAGCTCCATGTCTAATAGCTTTTAGGATAAGATTGCTCACTACTGTACCAGACTACTGGTAGGCTTCCTTCTGAAGAAGCTGGTGTGGGTAAAGAATGAAGCATTTATTTACAGGCTATAATACTCTGAAAGCCCATTTTATATCCTAAGCAATAATAGCTTTAAAGCTGAGTTTTATAGGGCAAATAGATAAATGTATTTATAAAAGACATATGAATTTTGAAATGTATAGACCAGTAGTTTGAATAGTATATATTTTTAACTCTAACTGTTATACTGGTTATTTTAATATCAGAAGATTCAAATACAGTTGTCTATTTTTTAATCAAACAAAAGTATCTGGATCTTTTATAATTAATCAATTAATTAATATCATATTCAAAAGATGATAAACATAATGTGTTAAGTTTCATCATTGTAAAAAGGGATCATTTCAGAGAGAACAGCAGTATAGTGCTGCACGTTTAAAATACTCAAAATTTGAAATACTGTATGTGAGTCATAGAAATACAATCTTTAATTTCTAGTGTCTGTTTCTACTATAGTAACTAAGATTTCAAAATATATTCACAAAGATTCACCTTTACGCATTACTTAAAAATGATTAAGGAGGATAGCTGCCTTAAATAACAAGTTAATTTTTTGAGCATTGCCCTTTACAGAAAATTCTAATCAAGAAACAAAACATACTTTTAATAATATATAACATAAGTTTTCAAGTAAACATAATGAAAAGTTAATATGAATACTGCTAAAATGTTAAACAGAAATACAAATAGAATTAAGTTATGACCAAAATATATCACTCTAGACCAAAACCTATAATTATAGATTTCAAAGGTTGCATATCTACCCAGTAGGATACCAATGTAAATGTCATAATCAATTTACTTTTTATTTCACTCTTTTGTTTTTTAGAATGAACATTTTTATATTATACAGTGTATTTATTACAAGTAAGGGCATTTTGATTTACTATATACAACTATTAATATATGTATAAGTTTAAGTAAATTTAAATTTCTGTGATCAAAAATGAACTCCTCACAGAATACAGCTCTAAACAAAAATAGCTCATATTGCCCTGGCTGGTGTAGCTCAGTGGATTGAGTATGGGCCTGCGAACCAGAGTATCGTGGTTCGATTCCCAGTCAGGGCACATGCCTGGGTGGCAGGCCAGTTCCCAGCAGGGGATGCATGAGAGGCAACCATATATTGATATTTCTCTCCTTCCCTTCCCCTCTAAAGATAAATAAATAAAATCTTAAAAAATAGCTCATATAGGGAGTATGCACTGATATAATGGGAACTAGGTATCATTTCAGGAGAATCTGGCCTACAATTCATTAATCTATGTAAATACTCAAATGCATCTCTTCCCACCTTATTTCAAAGGATCAAAATTTTATTTTCCATTCTATTTTTATGGCACTTTTCTAATAAAAAGTTATGTAACATAGAAATTGTTTTTTGAAATCACTTCATGCCACTTATTATGAAATGTATTTTAGATTTTTATAATCTTTACCATGTTTATGGAAGTAGATTATATCTAAGAGTTTTCTGCCTTAATACAACTTTACTAATAAATGCTAATGTTCATAAATATGAATTTACTATTAATAAGCATATTATTTCAGAGTCTTGTCTTGTAATAACCAACATTTATTTTAATTAAAACTTTATTTCTGAGCTTTATCATTCTTTGAAAATATTGGCTAAAACTGGGCTCTTAGAAATTCTAAGTGGAACTGCTTCACTCATCACTGAGAAAAAAGTCAACTATTTCTGATAAGCAATAATGCTCCAATGAATTAATGATACATCTGTCTAATAGATAAAGAGCTTAAATATGCAAAGCATAGAAGATATTCTGGTAACAAAATTTGCTGGTCCTTATTTGTTAATGGTTACCCGAAGAAAGATTTTAAAGGTAAATGTCATGAGTGATGTTATCACAATAAGCTCTTGTTTATAATTCTTATTATTTTTATATATGAACAAATTTGTTTCATGTCTTTGAAAAACCCTGTAAAATAAAAGATTTACTCTTTACATCTATTTATTTCTTCAGTGTGAAAACATTATTTACATATTTATTTTTGTCTGAAAGTTGTATAATGTTTACCTAATGAGAAAATATCTTTGACTCTTTGAAGACTTTAATGAGTATGATTTTACTAACAGGAAGACAGGCAAATGCAAAAACATCATTATCCTATTTCCCTCTATTAGAATACTGTTGACACATTTGAGATAGAAAAGTTTCAGTTTCATTTTGAGGCACTCAGCTCCATCTCCTCTTTTTCCTTCACTAATGCTGCTCTGCCTCAACCCTCATTATACCTCCTTAGGATAATGCAAATGCTTCCTAATAGTAACCCGTGCATCTAGTTTCACTCTATTCCAATCTATCCCCCATTTCAGTGCTAGAAGGATTATTAAAAAATACATGATCATGTCATCGTCCTGCTTAAAACTTTTCAACAACTCCTCATTTCCTGTATGATAAAATCCATCAAATAAGCCCCTTCATGAACTGTGTTCTGCCTACCTTTTAAAGTGTTCTTTTCTACCACTACTCACACTCCTGCTATACTGAGTGCTTTGTTTTTGAACAAATCATGTTGCCTCATATTTTCTTGACTTTGTGTATACTATTCCGTTGGTTTAGATAGAATGCCATCCTTGACCCCTGCTGAATTTTATGTTCTCATCCATGATTTAAGATCAGGGACTCAGAGCCAGACTTGCTAGGTTTGAATTTTAGGTCTACCACTTGCAAGCTGTATGATCACAAGCAAAGTCACTTAATCTCTCTGTTCTTTGGTCTCTTCAATTACAAAATAGGGATAACAGGACGATTTTCCTGTTAAAGTTATTGAGCAAATCAAATGATATATGTAAAGCATTCAGAACATACATATGTGTCATTATCATCATCATCATTCTGAAAGGTATCTCTTCTGGGTGGTTTTCTCTGATGACATTAGGAGGAGTTTGGTACCTTCCCTTTTTGGTCTTATACCATCATAATATTACTTATTATTCATTACATTATCTAGGTCAAGTTCTACCCTGAAATCAGTCTGTTTGTCTAGGATGTAAAGGAAATTTGAGACAGGAGTGTTGTTACTCAAAGTGGTTCATGAATATGTTACCACAGAGGAAGGGCTATAGTCTAAAGAAGACAGAGTTATGGTAGGGGAAGGAGTGGTACTTTCAAATCATAGAATTTGGGAGATGGTACATACAGGTGAGAAGTGATTGAAACCAGAGGAAAATAACACAAGACCAGATCAGATATATACTATAGAATTGGGCACATAACAATGGCAAACTTTTAAAAGAGGTACTGGGAACTGAGGCAGCTTATTAAGAAAGTAGGAAAATTCCCTGGCAAGTTGAGTGAGGAAACTGAGACAATGGCTGACCAAATGGTGGGAACATCTGAGCAACTAATAGCCCGCTAATAAATCACAAGACCCTATTCTCCCTAACCAAAGATGCCTAAGAGCAAATGGTTTAAATCACATTGTCAGGGAAAAAGATAACAAAAACAATTAAGCTTAGACTAATCCAAGATAGGAGTGAAACTAACCAGAGAATGACCTCTGCCCTGCCCCCACTATATGCTCCTTTTGCTACATTGGCCTGCAAAATGACACATCTCTAGATCCCATGAATATGCTGTTGACATCCTGCCCTGGGACCTCCCCTAAAATTCCTGCCTATAGAAAATACTGTGTTGGCCAAAAAGTTTGTTTTTTTCCCCATAAGATGGCTCTACTAGTACTTAGTTATCTTTAACTTTATTTGAAACAATTTTGTTAGATTGTATTGTGACAGTTGTCATATCAGTGTGCATTTTTTAAAAAGCTTATCAAAACTGGTGAATTTTTGTGTAACCATTTAAATATTAAAGATGAAAGAAAATAAGCAACACTTTTGGCATATTATGCTTTCTTATTTTAAGAAAGGTAAAAATGCAACTGAAATGCAAAAAGCAGATTTGTAGAGTGTATGGAAAAGGTGTTGATTGAACTGCTTGAACATGTCAAAAGTGGTTTGCGAAGTTCTGTGCTGGAGATTTCTTACTGGATGATACTCCACAGTCAGGTAGACCAGTTGAAGTTGATGGTGATCAGATTGAGATGTTAATGGAGATCGACATTCTACCATGCTGACATACTCAAAATATCCAAATCAATAAAGTTATTATGAAAATGGAAAATATGTTTCTTATTTTATGGAAAAAAACAAACAGTCTTCTTGTCTAACCCCACAGACAAAACCCTCAGGACAGAGGAGCTGATGCTCCTCTTTAAGTACACCCGTGCCCCCCTTTCCTCAGGCTTGTACTTTGTTTCTATCCTAAGCTACAAAGGTTCTGTCAAGACCTGCACCTACAGGACAAATGGGCAGTGGCTGCTCATCACAGGCTTACCCCCTGATCCTGTCTCCAGGGACCCTTATTTTTGCCTCACTGTCCCAAGCAATAATGAACTTACTCTCACTTTCACCTGGATTCATGTTTTAAAAAATTTCCTGCAAAAGTCAACAACCTTGAGGTCACCTTACATGGGAAACGTCCTGGACCTTGCCAGGGCAGGGCCAGCCCCCAGCATGGAAGCATTCCAGGAACAGGAGCATACCTCTGGGTACAGGTCATGTGGAGAGGTATGACTGTAACTGAGTGGACAGTGATTTTTCTACTTCAGTCTGAAGAAAAATGTATTTTCATACTTCTTATACTATATGGTAAATTTGAAAATAACTTTAATCATAGAAGATCCATGAGTGCTTTAATTTTTTAAAAATTACAGACCAGACTAAAAACCTCTTTGAAAACCATCTTCAATTCCAAATCTCCTCCCTCTCCCCTGAGGTAACACGCTGAATTCAAACCATAATTCAATTCTGTGTTGCCAAGTTGCAACATTTGCTGAATCACAGCTTTGCCAGGGTTCTTTTGTTTATTGATTGGGGAGAGTTGGAAATGAGAATTGATATTAGAGAAGTTGGTTATACTTAGAGATCTCAGAGGCTCCAGAATTCCCAAAAGTGACTGAGCTGCCCAGCCTCCTTGATGTGTTCCCTAAGGCTCTTCTTGCTAGAAGACAGTGCTGCTTTTTCTCATGAAGATGCAACCATAATTCCTCCTTAGGCTCCTTCATCCAACTCTGTACCACCTCCAGATCTGTAACCAGGGCATGCCCTAATGTCAGCTATTAAAGTCAAATTAAGGAGAAATCTTTATACTGCTTTGCCGATAAAATCAGCAGAAAACATGTGGAGGCAGATTTTAAGGTTGCTTGAATAAAGAAGAAAAAAACCAAAATTTCAGATGTCATTGAATCCATTGATACAGGTATATTTACCAGAAATTTAAAAATTATATTTTATTATTTATGCTATTACAGTTGTCCCAATTTTCCCACTTTGTCCCCCTCCACCCGGCCCCCCTACTCCCTCAAGCAATCCCCATGCCACTGTCAATGTCCATGGGTCCTGCATATATGTTCTTTGGCTACTCTATTTCCTGTGCTATATTTAGATTCAATTATCGATAGATATGTATTTATTGTCATTTTATTGTTCATATTTTTGATCTGCTTCTTTAAAAAGACCCTTGAATATTTCATATAATACTGGTTTGTTGGTGATGAACTCCTTTAGCTTTTTCTTGTCTGGGAAGCTCTTTATCTGTCCTTTAATTCTAAATGACAGCTTTGCTGGGTAGAGTAATTTTTTTGTTTGTAGGTTCTTGCTCTTCATCACTTTGGATACATTTTTTCAGTTCCTTCTAGCCTGTAATACTTCTTTTTAGAAATGAGCTGACAGTCTAATGGGGAACTCCCTGAAGGTAACTAACTGCTTTCTTGTGACTGCCTTTACAATTCTCTCTTTGTAGTTAACCTTTGGCATATTAATTATGATGTATCTTACAGTGGGCCTTTTTAGGTCCATTTTGTTTGGGACTCTCTATGCTTCTTGGACTTATATATCTATTCCTTCACCAAGTTAGGAAGGTTTTCTTTCATAATTTTTAAAATTGGTTTCATATTTTTTTGAAATGGTTGTCTCCATTTTCACCCCATCACAGTCCCCTGCCTCACCCATCCCCGCTCCTACCCTCCAACCTACCCCCTTTGGCTTTGTCCATGTGTTCTTTATACATGTTCCTTGATGTATATTCTTACCTATTCTCTTCCATTATCCCTTCCCTCTGGTTACTGTCAGTTTGTTCTTTATTTCAATGTTTCTGGTTATATTTTGCTTGTGTGTTTGTTTTGTTGATTAGCTTTCACTTATAGGTGAGATCTTATGATATTTGTCTTTCACTGCCTGGCTTATTTCACTTAGCATAATTCTTTGTAGTTCCATTCACGCTGTTGAGAAGGGTAGGAGCTCTGTCTTTCTTTCTGCTGCATAGTATCCCATTGTATAAATGTACCAGAGTTTTTTATCAACTCACTTAATGGTGGGCATTTAGGTTGCTTCTAACACTTGGCTATTGTAAATTGTGCTGCTATGAATATTAGGGTGCACAGGTTCTTTCGAACTGGTGTTTCAGGATTCTTAGTATATAATCCCAGCAGTGATATTGCTGGGTCAAAAAGGAGTCCCATTTTTAGTTTTCTGAGGAAATTCTATACTGTTTTTCACAGAGGTTACATCAGTCTGCATTCCCACCAACTAGGGTTCCTTTTTCTCCAGAACCTTGTCAGCACTTGTAGATTTGTTTATGTCGGTCAATTTTTTCAAATAGGTTTCCAGTTTCTTGCTGTCTCTCTTCTCCTTGTGGCACTTTTATGATGTGAATATTGTTACGCTTGAAGTTGTCCTATAGGCTTCTTACACTATCCTCATTTTTTTAGGTTCTTTTTTGTTCTTTCTGTTCTGATTAGTTGTTTTTGCTTCCTTTTTTTCCAAATTGCTGATTTGATTCTTGGTTTCGTTCACTCTACTGTTGAGTTCCTATAAATTGTCCTTTATTTTAACTAATGTATCCTTTGTTTCTGGCTGGATCTTTTTTTGTGTCGAGGTCCTCACTAAGC